TTGGAAAAATCTGTAGAATCCCTTTATCGAGATTCTCTGTTTTTGTGAAAAAAATTGTCTTGGTTTTGAAATCTTTATCGGTCTTATCTAACTAATTATACATAATGAGTCAGTTTATGGGACATTTGATGTTGGATAATTTCTTGAAATTTAGTATCTTAGCATATAATTGCAAAGTTGGATAAAACATTGATTATCATTTTTAGAGAAGGGTTGTTTATTTGTTATGGAACTTGAATTGAACCAATTTAACCATTTTAGTTGGTAATTTAGAATTATGTTTCCTTGATTTTAGTTAAAATTAACACAAAATTATTTAAAGAACGTTATTACTCTTCAAAAATCTTAGAAAATAGCCAGAAAGCTTCCTAAGAGAAGAATAGATCAAATCTGGACCCATAAGTTCGTTGACATTTTTGTGAAATAATTTTGTTGGTGGATCTTCATGTAAGAGACGACAATACAGAAACGAACACGTGAAGTCTTTATTAGCTTCTTTCACACACTTCACAATTTAATTCATTAATTAATTAATGCAAAAACAATATAATAAAACATAATAAATAATAAACTGGACATTGACAAGCGCCCTGCCACATGATTGGGAATTAGGAATTATGGGTTATTTATGTGAGGAAATTTGCGTCGGCAATATCAGCGTATATCTAAAACTTGAGTCACTTTTAAGGGAAATATTTTAGAAAACGTGAACGAGAAAATATATTAAAAATAGTTTGAAAGAAAACAATGTTACAGGTAAAAACGAGTAGGCAACGACAACAACTTTGATAGCATATAATTCTAGTAGGAAAAATTGACAACTAGTCACATCCTCTTATAGTATATTCTGGGTCATTTTAGCCCTAGCGGGTGTAGACATGATTTTAGTAATCGGTCATATACCCCATTTTAACACAACAGTAATAGTAAAGGCTTATCTAATATGATATGTTTAATTCCTATACTTAAAAATCACATGATCCAACAAATATTTAATGATCGAACAAATATTTAAAAAATCTAAAAGAAGATTATAGTAAATATTGCCGGCCTATTTTTACATTTCATTGTTAAGTTGTGAATGAGATTATATTTAATTTAATTTCAATTTTATCTCTACACTTTTTAACTAACAAGAAAATCATTTTTGGAGATTAGAAAATGTTTATTTTAGTTTAATAGTTATAGAAATTGAACGATTAATTAAATATAAAATAAAAAATAAAAGGTAATGATATATAAAATAACAAGCACCAGTGGTCTAGTGGTAGAATAGTACCCTGCCACGGTACAGACCCGGGTTCGATTCCCGGCTGGTGCAATAAACTGTGAATAAGCAATGAAGAAATTTTGCGTTGACTGTGATCAGGGTCGATCACAACCGTCTGATCCTTCTGACGAGTTACTCCTCAGCGTATCAGAGCTTTCCCCTTTTTTTTCTTTTTTTCTTCATTAACTTTGTTTTTTTGGTTGTAAATTATTATTCCATTTCTATCTTCTAATAAGTTATATTATGTTTTTAGTTAAATAATTGTAATCGATGTTTTATTATATTAATATTATAACATTGTACGCTACTCTTCTTTACCATCTTTCATCTACACAGTTTATGGTCATCATTCAATATTTCTCAAGTTATTTCTGAATGTTTAATATTACGTCAACACTCTAACATTATATTGCATATTGTCATTCATTATCGTCTCTTATTAATGGTAGTTTGTGGTCATCATTCAATGTTGCTCCTGTTCTTTCTATATTGATGCATTTACTAAACTTCTTTCTCTTGATTTCAATTTATGTATCCATTTATCATTTACAACATTATACACTATCCTTCCTTACTGACTTAAACAAGTAGTTTGTGGTTGTCATTCATAAGCAGTTTGTGGTGGTTGTCATTCAACGTTGCTCACGTTTTTTTATATTTAAATACCTAAACATATTACGATAAATTGGATCGGATTTTGCAATTTTTTCTTCTGCAGGACATGAGACGTGCACCTATTAGGCCCAAACCATTAATGTCAATAAATGTTTCTTTTTTTAGGTCAATATAGACAATTAATTCATTTTATTGGGGTATACTAATTATCTACGACTGTGTATCAATGTATGAGAATTAGCCTATATCAAGGATGTGGATCAGGAATCAAAATCCAGGTGCTAATTGCCTTGATATTCTCCTGTATCCCTTGGTCACGTTATTTACGTCTTGATAAAAAGAGTGAAAACTATCCCCACAAACCAACACGAGATTTTCCAGCATACTTTGTCCTCACTCACATGCATATCAGAAAAATTCATACGAGACCACCCAATATAGAATTACTTCAACTATGGAGCTCTTATGCTTAATCCATAAAAAAAGTGCACATTGTTGGTATAGGTAATAATTTTCAATTTTTTAAAACTTTTTGTAGTCATCCTATTCTTATTTTGCTCTCATTCAAATATAGTATCGGTTCATTCATGTACCCCTCCTTTATTCGTGTGTCACATGTGTAGCAAAAGCACATGTGACACTCGAGTAAAAAATAGGTATCCGAATGAGAGCGATCGTGACGATAGAATGATTAAGAAAGACTAAAAAAAATTAAAATTTACTGCCTATACCCAACAAGATTCTCCATCCTTTTTGGTGGCTCAACCATAAAGACTTCATTATTAAGTATGCTGCCCCGCTGCCCTCGACACGAGGGCAGCAACACTAACTAGTCCAAGCCAACCCTTACAAACGAACAAACAGCGAATAATCATAATCATAATCACATTTGTTAGATATGGTGAATAAAACTCCACAAATGAACAAAATGAAAGTAGCATTAATAATGATTCAAGATCTATGGGACAATCATCTGAAAAGGGATTTAAATTGATTCACAGCAACAATATACACTGCCAATGTTCTCTGTAATATTTAACGATTCAACCAGACATTTACAAACTTTGAAGCCGCAGTAATAATGAATACATACCTTGCTTGTTCCCATTTTGAGCTTAAGCAAGGCATGGAACTCAGAAGAAGAACATGAATGTTTATGTTATTTTTCTTCAAACGCCTGTTCAACACCTGTGGAGCAGCTCCATTTCATGTCAATAAATAATGAGCTACATTCAGAGGTTGCAAAAAATGGATGAAAATTCCTGCATTCATTATGTTTTTGGTTCATTTGCAAGTTTAGTTCTTAAAGTTTGAGATTTGTGTCTATTTAGTCTTTTTAACACACTCTACTACGTGTCACAATAGCACTTTTCTTGGAAGTGGACTTTGCGATTGTGTAGCACACTCTCAACATTTAGTGAGTTTGGATTCGCGTCACCTATAGTCAGGCAACGTATGTTCAAGCCTTACAATGTATATAAAACACAGAATATAAGTGCATACCTGTTGTGATCGAACATGTTGTCTATACACTGAAATCGACGTCTCAAGCTGAATAAAAGACAATGGGCACTGTAACATAAAAAGGGTAGAAGTTAGTCTAATGCCAACACAAAAACAATAAGTGAAAAAAGAAAAGGTACCATCAGCTGAGATTCTCATTATAATGTATTAGCAGGCCCCATTCTTGCATTATGCTCACGACCAATCCTCCTAATTTTTGGGAAGGCTTCACCTACCTAATAGCCAACTATGTAAGGTAATCAGTGTTTTAAGTGATTACGTTTTGCACCCAGAAGCTTGAACCTAGGACTTCACGAAGCCACCCATTGTGGGAAATACCTCTCTTGTTCTTGGCTTGGAAGATGTGAGATCTCACGTCGGTTGGAGAGGGGAATAAAACATTCCTTATAGAGGCGTGGGAACTTCCCTAGTAGATGTGTTTTAAAACCGTGAGACTGACGGCGATACGTAATGAGCCAAAGTGAACAATATCTGCTAGCTTTCACACCTCCTCCACAAAGCTTTGGCCCGTTATGTATCGTTGTCAGTCTCACGGTTTTAAAACGCGTCTACTAGGGAGAGATTTTCACACCCTTATAAAGAATGTTTCATTACCCTCTTCACTCATCCATGGAACCTTTTATCCTCAATATTAGAAACAGGGCAATCCTTTGTCTTGCTCCTACATTGTTTGATAAAATCTGATAAGGATCACAACTCCCCCACACATTTTTCACCCCCTCTAAAAAATTCTATTGGTTCTTCCCCCCGGCCCCCTCAAAATAGCACAAAGACAAGTAAGCCGAAGTCTACGTCGGTTGGGGAGGAGAACAAAACATTCTTTATAAGGGTGTGGAAAACCTCTCTTTAGCAAACACGTTTTAAAAAACCTTGAGGGAAACCTAAAAGGGAAAGCCCAAGGAGGACAATATCTGGTAGCGGTGAACTTGGACCGTTACAAATAGTATCAAAGCTAGACACTGGATGATGTGCCAGTGAGGAGGTTGAGCCCCAAAGGAGGGTGCACATGAGACGGTGTGCCAACAAGGATGCTGGACCCCGAAGGAGGGTGGATTGGGGGGGTCCCACATGGATTTGGGAAGGGAACGAATGTCAGCGAGGACGCTGGACCCCGAAGGGGAGTGGATTGTGAGATCCCACATCGGTTGGGAAGGAGAACAAAACATGTGTGGAAACTTCTCCTCAACCGACGCGTTTTAGAAACCTTGAGGGAAGCCTAAAAAGTAAAGCCCAAAGAGGACAATATTTGCTAGCGGTGGACTTGGTCCTTTCAATATAAGAGAGAGTTAGTCAAGCATTATACAACTAAAATCTCCCCAAACATTGTCAATTAATCAGAAAGAAAGTAAATAAAAAACCACATAATTTCTTGGACTAAAAACTGTCTACACATAAATAACATACTCCAAATCAAATCAAAATTTCGTAAATTTCTAAAACTCGAACACTGCACATCCTCGAGAAAATTAGAAACTCACCGATCAAGAATATAGTCAACATCAAAGCCAGAGTAAATTGAACAGAACATGCAAGCTGAAGATGCCAAGGTCTGTATATTTGCCTCTGCTGAACCCTACCAAAGAACTGATAGAAAAAATGGTCAGTTACAGTTACATTTCGTTCGGAACGCATAAGAGCACAATTACACCGAACAAAATATATGGTATTCGTGTTCCCTGCCATGCTCACCTGAGAAAATTTTTGACATCCAAGCTTCCAGAAGACTGATCCTGATTTTCCTTTTCTTGAAACTTCTAAACTCGTAATAGACTGTTTTCTCTCTCGATTTTCATCCACAATTACAATTTGGATATCAGGAGCGCTTGGCGAGCTCGCTCTCCTTGCCTTTGTTGATCTATCCATTTTGCATAGTCCATCATCCACTCTTCTAAATGTAGCCAAATCGTCGCATTCTTCCTCATTTGCTGAAGAACAACACACAGATGATTCAGTTTTTGCGCTTCGTGGTACTTGGCATGTGCCAGAGAGAAACGTAGCCAAATCGTCACATTCTTCCTCGTTTAAATTCACCCATCGAAGAGGCTTCTTGCCCTCTTTGTCATAAGATTCTCTTAAAGCAGCTTCAATATGAGAAATTTGATTTCCAATGGCTGCAATAAATAGCCTATGTCTTTCCAACAAATGTTCTTCACTTCGAGCACGATAGCTAACTCTAACAGCTTTCTCAAACTCTTCCAGCTAATTATCGACCGAAAAAAACAACACTTGTTACTATGATTTATAAAAGTAGAGCCATAGGTTCATATAAGTCAATGTATAATCATAGCTTAACTAGCAAACAAGACTAATGGTCAGTTGTCACTGTTCTTAAACATCAGGCTTATCATCAAAGTATCCTAATTACCATTCCATTATGATATTTTGATGGCATAATTTGGTTAAATTCAGTATCCTACCTGCCATTTGGCTGTGCCAAGAGCTGTTTGTACCTCGCGTCGAAGTTCATCCAAATCATCAGGACTTAGCCCTTCTCTTATCTCTCTAACCCATGTCCTATATGCAAACTCCATTCTGAAATCATAAACCAAAATGAGTATCAATATAGGAGAAACTTGTAGAATCCCTCTAAACCCAGTAAGCACACAAACTTGTAGAATCCAGGGCAGATAAAATTTAAGGTTCTTGAACCATCACTATAGTAGAAACTCATTCAACTTAGACATAGAATAAGAAACTAAGATTAAAACGAATCATCATAAACAGATCATTCCAGACTCAAATAAAACGAACCCAGAACGCCAAATCATTAGAACAAAACATCCTCCACAACAAATCAAAACAGAATTCAATTAAACATCGAGAGAAAGAAAAAGAAGGGGAAACCCCCCAAATCAAACAAAGAGTAAAAGACGTACGTATCGGCAGATTCTTGGACCTGCTCGGCGGCAGAAAAGAAACCATCCTTCTTCCACAAATCGAAACTATTTGCAACTAACATCGAGGGATAAGAGGGCAAACCGGAGGGGTAGAAAAAACAGAGCAAAGACGATGAAATAAGAAAGAAAAGGGTTAGGAAATCAAAGATCAAAATCGGGAAATCAAATGTTGGTGGCGGGGAGCTAAAGGGTTGGATTGTTTGAGCAATTCCTGTGATGGGTGGTTGAGAGAAGCAAGAACAGAGATGAATACAAAGGAACACACAGCTCACACAGAAATGAGACAGAGATGAAGCTCTCTTTGTTGTCCGATTCTTTCTTGCACAATTCCCCACCTTCTTTTCAGAAGCTAATAATTAGGAGAAAAAGACTGAGATTTATAAATAAATAAATAATACTCATAATAATAATAAAAAAAATTCCTTTTTAAATATTTATTTTTATATAAATAATCAACGATTTGATAAAAATATATATATTATGTTAATTTTTTTTAATATTTTTTAAAATGGTTTAATTGGAATTCCATGCATTACATAAATCAAAATTGTACTTAGAATATTAAAAAAAAAAAAAAAAACTAAAAGAATTTCATGAAAAAACTAATATTAAAATTTGGAAAATTAAATATTAAAAACAGATTTAGGATTTTCCAGCCGAAAACGTGAAAATTATCAGCTGCTTCTCGTGCAAAACATAATTGGTCGGAATGCCAGCGAATACATGCCACGTAGTCAAAGTTTAGAATAATTGAAGTTATTGATGACGTGTCAATAACTGATTGGACAAACAGGAAATTTTTTTAGCTTGCTTGTGTGATAATAGACACGCCGTCGGCAACGGTTCAGGGATTAATGGAACAAGTTTGTTGAGCTGTCGATTTGGAACTGCCACTCTGTTCATTTGTTTATTGGCCGTTAGTTTTGGGTAAACGGTGGGGCCACCAAATAATTTAAGTAATAAAATAATAATAATAATTTTTTTTTTGCTAAATTAATAAAATATTTCTAAATTTTGTATTTTTTTTCTTAAATTAAATTAAAAAAAACTCAAAAATAGTTTGAATGAAAATGATTAATACATAACTTAAAAATACCTTAAATTTTAAAAAATTTAATTAGTTAAACTTTTTTTTTTAAATTCAATAATAAAATACTGAGAAAGTTTATAAATATTTTTAGATTTTTTATTTTATTTCGAAAGTATTATGGAAACTTTTAAATATTTAATAGATTATTTTTATTAATTTAATTTTTTTTAATCAAACTTTTAATAATGTAAGAAAATAAATTTCAAAATTTATTCTAATTTTTTTTTAAAAGATTATAAGATTTAAAACCAATTCACTAAATATTATATCATATCATATAAATTTATCGCTAACCAAATTAAGTATTTACCAACGGTGAAATACTAAGTTAGAAAAGTATTAAGGTTGTGAGATTTTAATTGGGTCAAACACGTACAACTTTGACTTGGTCTCATCACAACTTTTAATTTTTATTTTTTATTTTTCCCTTTTTGTGGAAAGCCACATTATAATCTTACTTTGATTATTCCTTAATCACTCATTTACTTTCGTTTTTGTTTTTCCTTATTTGAAAAAAATAATTTTAATCCTACTTTAATATATAAACTTTCGATTCGACACCGAATGATCCAACATTTTCTTGCATCCGTGCGATATGGTCATGTTACCTATTACCCATGTGCATTTCAGGAAATTTCCTATGACGTCACTCAATATAAAATTGCTCTAAGTAAAATACGTATAACTATGATTGAGCCACCGAAAAGGAAGGTGCACATTGTTGGTATATATAGTAACTTGCATTTTTTTAAAGCCTTTCTTAGTCATTCTATCCTTAGGATCGCTTTCATTTGGATGTGATCTCGGTTCATTCATATACTCCTCATTTACTCGAGTGTCACATAGATATCAAAGAATTAAATCCGACGAGCCAAGTCTACTGGGTACGTATACGAGCCTGTTTAGTAGGTCTATGTATGCGTGCATGGGCCGTGTGTGGGAGAAGTACCACACATCTAATAAGAGCAATGTATGCACCTATAATAACAAGGTTCACCTTCTTTTTTCGGTAGCTTGATCGTAGGAACTTTATAGTTAAGTATGCTTTACTTCAAGCAATTTTAATTGGGTGATCTCATACGAATTTTTTCGGGATGCATATGAGTGATGATAAAGCATGCTATGAGGGTAGTCTTCACTCTTAAGAAGCGAAAAATAGGTAACATGACCATGTCACGGGGATGATAAAGTATGCTATGAGAGTAGTCTTCACTCTTAAGAAGCGAAAAATAGGTAACATGACCATTCGCGGGGATGTAAGAGAATGTTATGGCCATCAGGTGTCGAGATCCTAATCCTGGGTAGGAGTGTTACAAGTTTTCTTCATTAGAATGAAACGCCGGCGAGACTAGAAAACTCAGGTTTAGCATATTACGATGAGCGAGACACCCATAGTAGTAAACAACCTATGGTAAGATACTCAATGTCCATGTTGTCCCTTTTTCTTTCGCCACCGGTGAACATACAGTTTTGGTAAATTGAGATGAAAAAATCGGGCCAAAGTGGACAATATCTACTAGCGGTTGGCTTGGGCTATTACAAACGGTATCAGAGTCAGACACGGGACGATGTGGTAGTGAGGACGCTGGCCTCCAAGGTGGGTGAGATTGGGCTATTACAAACGTTATCAGAGTTAGACATTGAGCGATGTGCTAGCGAGGATGCTGACCTCTAAGGTGGGTGATTGTGAGATCCTACATTGGGTGGAGAGGGAATAAAACATTCCCTATAAACGTGTGGAAGCCTCTCCTTAAAAGACGCATTTTAAAACCATAAAGCTGACGACAATACGTAACGAGCTAAAGTGGACAATATTTGCTAGCGGTGAACTTGGATATTACAAATGGTATTAGAGTCAGTGATTGACGATGTGCCGCCACCGGGAGGGAACAAAACATTGGTGATAGGTGTTGGTTGAAAATAAAAATTGGGATGTATTTAGGTAAGGGGTGATTGGATTGGTTGAAAATTTCAAGAATGGATGGGTTTTATTCGGTTCTATCTTGTTGAAGAAAAGACAATTCAGTTAATTTATAATTAAGACAATTGTTTTTAGGGTTTCCTCCCTCATCTATATCATGTCTGGAAATGGAAATCAAATTTTAGGGTTTGTTGCTATTAGAAGGTGAAAGAAAATCAACGGCTCACCTAAAAAACTTCAAATCTCAGAACAAAGAACACGAGCAAGGTAGCAGTGGAGAGAGAAACAGAGAGCGAGAGAGAGCGAGAGAGTAAAGCAAAATCCGAGAAAAATGTCGGAAAGAGACGACTCTCTCTCGCATCATGAATCTCTCTGCTTCTTCTTCGTCTTCCCCTTCAAAATCCTCTTCAATTCCCTTCAAATTTTCTCCAGAAACAAACGATTTTTCCTCTCAATCTTCTTCTTCTTCGCTCTCCCTCTCTCTCTCCTCCTCTTCGCCCTTTCTCTCTCTTCTCACCCTCTCAAATCCCACATCCTCCACCTCGAATCCGTCCTCCGCCATTCCCCCACCCGTTTCGAGTTCCGCCATGTCTTCTCGGAGTCTCGCGATGATGCCTTCTCCCTCCTCCGTCTTCGTGCGGCGTTTTTCCTCCCTATCTACGTCTTCTCCCTTCTCACCGCCTTCTCTACCGTCTCCTTCACGCATCATTCCTTCCACGCCAAACGTCCTACCCTCAAATCCACCATCGCTCTTCTCAAAAACTCATGGAATCGTCCTCTCGTTACTACGATTTGCATCTACGCCATTCTCGTTGCGTACTCCATCGTCCCGAACACTCTCGCTTCGATTTCTCAATCTCCGGCTGTGCGCTTCGCGATTTTAGTCGTTGGCGTGATTTTCGAGGTTTATTTGATTGCGATCCTGAGTTTGGGGCTTGTTGTGTCGATCGCTGAGGAGAGATTTGGTTTCGATGCGATCCGTACTGCAGCGGCTCTAATGGCGGATCGGAGACTGAGCGGTTCGATTCTCACCGCGATGTTCCTCCTGGCGTCGAGTTCGATCTCGTGGGAGATGGAGGGGCTTATGGACGGCGTCGATCACTGGATGAGGACGACGGCGGCAGTTACGTCCAATGTGGCGATAGGCGTGTGGGATAAGATGGGGTTAATTTCGCTGTACGGAATGGTGATTATCTCCGGGTATGTGGTAACTACAGTTTTTTACTGCGAGTGTAGGAAGAAGGATTTTGTTAGGGTGGAAAATGAGGAGGATCATGATCATATTGTTACGGTTTAATTTTTCACCTTTTTTTCTTTTGCATTTAAATATTTTCCACTTCATAATTAAATTGGAATATAATTGGCTTGCTAAATTTTTGTTCTTCCTTCTTTTATTTTATTTTATTTTCTGTTTAGAAATTCGATATCTTAAACCATTTGAGGTAACATATACTTGACGTTTCGATTTTAGGGGTGTATGTTGTTCTAGTATCGTCCGAAATTGTTTGTTCGAGATTGAAATTTTGTATAATTAACTTATAAATTACATTAATTTAGCTGTTTAAATATTATAATCTTCATGGAAAAAGTTAAAAATTTAAATTCTTACTCCCTAGATGATAGAAATACGATCAACATCCTATTTCTTGACTTTAATTATTTTAATTAGCTAAAATTTTGTAATTAAAAAAATAATAATAATTGCCTCCAACCCCAATACTCTCAAATAAAAATAATAATTTTCAAACAAAGAAAATAAATTTTCGATATTCTTTTTAAAATTTATGGTAGAAAACCATTTTCAAAATTGGTGAGCCAAAAAGATATTTTAAATAAAAAAAATTAAATTACATAAATTGAAATTTGAACTTCCCATTTTCAATCTCATTTCCTTTGATTTTGGTTCCAATGGAATCAGAGATATATCCGTTCGTTTGAATCGGGTCAGAATTGAGAACTGACTGTGTAAGATGATGAGAGGCATTACCCAAATGTGGATATGGGCAGCCGAAATCTGTAAATTTAAAACCGTCTATTTAGTATTTTCACAAAAAAATGGTTTATGCATTCACGCAAGGGGCGGAGCGGCCTTTGGAGATGCCTTCCACTGTGCTGATTCTTCTCCCCATTGGAGGAGTGGCCAACCCTTCTGCAACTTTCTCCAGGTAATTTCGCTTTCTTCTTCGTATACCCATTTCTGATTCTATCACTCCTATCGGCGTCTATTCTTGTTTTTCCTCGAATTTCTTTGTTATATTGGGCTCTTTGTCTTAGCTTCGTATGTTATCGGAGTCTGTGCTCCACATAATTTAGTTTGATGGTTTGTTGCAAGCTACACGGGGATCCATTTTTGTGTGTGTGTGTGTGTGTTATGAATTGGTATTTAGTTATGTGTCACCTTATTTGGCACCTTGGATTTCAAAATGAAATCAACAAGGATCGTCTCAAAAGGAGCATGATTAGGGGAGATGGCTCTGAGTTAACCAGCTAACTGAAAACAGCCCATTTTGGTGGAGACCTCAAACTGTAATTGATAAAGGGAGAGATTGGGAATGTTAAAACTCTAGTTTTTGAAGTTTCTTGTAAAAAATAGTTATAAGCCAAGAGCTCTAGAAAGGAACTGAAACAATAGTCAATAAATTTGTTTAATTCATTCTCCATCTTGATTCTTGGGTATTCTTCTAAATCCTGAACCACTATTTCATCCTTGCTAATTGCTCTGCATCATTCTTGATGGTAACAAACTGTCTACTTCGTTGATATATTAGAGAAATCTCCCCTGCCCACCACTCGGATTTGAATAGAGTCATCTTTCAGCATACTTTGTTATTACAATGAAGTTCGATTGTGGTTATCTGGCTGGTTCTTTGGATTCTAAGTGTATTGACAGTTGATAGTATCGTTGTTTAGTTTCTTGTTTATTCTATGCAAGTTGTTTGATGTTATGAATTTTATTTAATTTGGAGAATCTGTGATCGAATGCTTAATCTTACTTTTGGATCCTTTTTCATCAAGCTGCAATGTATTCCTCATTGCCTTCATGTAATCGAATATAGCTGGACAGTATGGTATTACTAACCCGTTCATTATATTTAACTTGAATGGTGTTGTTCTTGTTCTTCCAATGAAAGTCATTTTCAAGATGTTTATGTGCTTTTGTTCGGGAACAAACATGTATCGTGTCAATTGTTTATGTAACAGCCTAAGCCCACCGCAAGCAGATATTCTTCTCTTTGAGCTTTCCCTTTTGGGCTTCCCCTCAAGGCTTTGAAACACGTTTGCTTGGGAGAGGTTTCTACACCCTTATAAAAACATGTTTCGTCCTCCCCCCCCTCGATACCCAGTGTCTTTGCTGGGATTTGTTCTCTTCTCCAATCGATGTGGGATCCCCCAATCCACCCCCCTTTGGGGACCAGTGTCTTTGTTGGCACACTGCCTCATGTCCACCCTCCTTGGGGCTTAGCCTCCTCGCTGACACATCTCCCGTGTCTAGCTCTGATACCATTTGTAACAGTCCAAGCCCTCCGCTGGCAAATATTGTTCTCTTTGGGATTTTCCTTTCGGACTTCCCCTCAAGATTTTTAAAACGCGTCTGCTAGGGAGAGGTTTTCCACTCTTATAAAGAATGCCTCATTTCTCTCTCCAACCGACGTGGGATCCTATAGTTTAGGTCTCTCCTTGTAAGGATGGGTTAGGTGATTGTGGTTGACCCTCTGGAAGCCAAACTTACGGCAGCGAAAAGAAATGGAAAAGATCAAAGCAAAAGATGAGTTCAAGGTAAAGGAATCGATCATCATCAATGATATAAAACTTGTTTATGAACCAAATGGATAGTTTCCCAGCATGTTTTTGAGAAGAGACTGACTGCAAATAATGTTGTGAAATGTGAATGCAGAGAAGACATCAAATGGAAGCGATTAATGAAGCATGGGCAATGATCGACCTCACAAAGACATTCTAGCCAAGGTGAAAAGTTACAGCTTAACTTTGTCTTCCTTGTATTATAAAAAGAAAAGAAAAAGGTTTGTTCTTAAGAACCTCAAAAACTTCTCCAGAAATTCTTTGGACTGATATTCTTTACTCTTTTGAAGTCTCATCTGATTTCTTCACATTTCATATACAAAATTGACATTTATAGTTGTGTGGACAGTGGAGGCTGAAGCAGCAGCAGATTCAGGTGGTTCTCTTTTGGAAGAATTTATTGGCTATGCAATCATATATCTTACTATAATTTGTTTCAACTTTTTATAAGCTTTATTAATACACTTAAATGATTCATTGTTCCAGCTTTATACTCCATCACTTTTCGTTTATCTTTCTACTCTGTTTCAATTTTTGACTTACACTTCTCCGTTTTTATTATTATTATTTTTTTCTCTCAGTGCTTAGGATTTGGAATCCACATTTGACATTTGATGGTCCCGACATTTTCCTGCGACATGATCACGTTATTTACTTCTTCCTTCTAAGAGTGAAGATCATCCTATACACCAACAAGTCTTTAAAGCATGTTTTGTCGTCCCCTCACATGCATCCTAAGTAAACTTCAAGGAGGTCACCTCACGTAAAATTGCTCAAAGCAAGACTGTTTAACTATGAACTTCCTGTGATTGAGTCATTAAAGAGAAAAAGTGCACCTTGTTGGTATAGGTAATAATTTTTATTTCCTTAAAACTTTTCTTAGTCATCTTATTCTCGCTTCATTTACTTGGGTGTCACATGGTGATCTCAGACAATGTGTATTTTCCTTTTCGTTGGCTCAATCATTGGAACTTTGGTTAAACGTGTTTTGCTTGGAGCAATTTTATATTGGGTAACCTCCCTAGAGTTTTTCTAGGATGCATGTGATTGAAGACAAAACATGTTGGACTTGTGTTTATTTGTGGGGATGGTCTTTACTCTCGGAAAAGAGAAGTAATGTGATTATGTTAAAAGAGATGCAGGAGAATGTCGAGGTCATCAAGTGTCAAATCCGAATTTCAAATCTTTGGCATGAGATGTTATGAATCTCTTTTATTTTTTAGCATGTTCAAACATTAACATAAGAAATTTCAAGCCCTAAATAGTCATTCTTCTAAAACCAATTTAAAAAACTATTCATATAAATACTTTCATTTTTCCCTCATTTGTTTAATTTTTCATGAACATGTGGTTATTAACGAGTTTAAAACGAGAGAAAATGATGCTAGTTGGGCTTTGACTTTTAGGTCCAATTTGAAATGGGCTATAACTCCATCCTTCCTACCCTATCTTTGTCATAGACACACATACACATCGGTTGGAGAGGAGAACGAATCATTCTTATAAGGGCGTAGAAACTCTACCTTTCAAGGAGAGCGGATTGTGAGATAAAAACATTAGGGTGTGAAAATATCTCCCTAGTGGACGTGTTTTAAAACGGTCAATATTTGCTAGCAGTGAACTTGAACGGTTACAAAATGAGAACGTAATCTTTTCATCTCTTTCATCGATCATGTCGGGATCATGTCACTTAATGTTATCGTATTATGGTTGGTTGTAATTATATTTATTTGGAAGATAGTGAAGAATTTTGATAAAAGGAAAGGGGGGTTTAATTGGGAAAAGTGGTGACAATTATTTAATGCAATTAAGTAAATGTTGAGGACAAAAATTATTAAGTTTGTTGAATTATTTAATTGGAATAAAGTTTTTCGGAATTATTAATTCAATCATAGTGGTGGGAGAGGGAACAGGTAAGCATGGTTCCATTAAAAGCCTGCAAATCCGCTAATAAATAAATATTAATAATCATTCTCAAAACTACTTTGACCGTGGATAAAACTCAAATATCAAACATTTACAAGTCGGAACGTATCACTGATATATAATCTCAAAAGTAGGTTAAGGCTGAGTTGTAACTCTATTTTCCGAACCAACCAGAAATTTTCATTCTTCAAAATTTCAACCAAACCCAAACTAAAAAATATTCGAACCCAACGTTTTGATCGGGTTCTTAGGTCATATGAACAGCAGTTATGTTTGAATTGCCCTCTTGATCGGGCGTATAAAAAAAGGGAGAGTTTTTGGTTAGAAGGCAATGTTTTTGTTTTTAGGGTTTTAGGTAAAGTAATGAATACAAAGGGAAAACAATAAGAAGTAGGTTAAAAGCATTCTTAACTAAAAGTGTTCAACAATCCCCTTTTCTCTCATATTTCACTTTATGGGAATTTAATTTCTTTTCCTCAACCTTATTTTTTTAAAAAAATTAATTTATTTTTATATAATTTAATAAGAACGATCAGAATAAAAATAATTATATTCGATTATTCGTCTCAAGTTCTTCTTAATAAAATAAAAATATGATTAAATTATTCCATTTTGTAACATTTGTTTGAGTTATACCTTTAGACTTTGAATAATTGCGTGTTCGAGATATGATTAATGGTTAAAATAATTTTTATTTTAAAAGGAAATATCTTTTATTTAAAAATAATTATTTTTATAATAAAATAAATTTGTTGGGTGGAAGAGCTTTTGCCAGGCTTTATGAAAAGGTTTATGGTGTAAGGTGGTGGTGTGGTGGGTGAAATTTAGAAGAACTTATTTTAATAAATTTATAATTTATTAAATTGTAATATATATATATATATAATAATGACATGTGTTAGGTATTTCTAAAGTATTGTATTAGAATTATGAATAAAAATTATCGCTATTATATTTACCATTCTCGAAAAATTTAATCAACCCAATTCAATCTAATATAATTTGGGTTGGGTTACGGATTTATTTAGATTGGATTTTGTCATATGAACACGATTCTCCACAATGGTATGATATTGTCCACTTTAAGCATAAGCTGTTATAGGTTTGCTTTGAGCTTCCCCAAAAGGCCTTATATAGAGTTGTGTTCATCTATCATGGTATTAGAGTCATGTCCTGAACTTAACTATGTCAATAGATTGACAAATCCTCAAATGTCGAACAAAGTATTGTGAGCCTCAAAGGCAAAGTCAAAAAGTGACTAGAAAAGACTTCAAAGGAGTCGAGCCTCGATTAAGGGGAGGCATACTTTGTTCGAGGGGAGGTGTTAGATGAAAGTGTCCCACATCGGTTAATTTAGGGAATGGCCATGAGTTTAGAATATACTCTCCACTGGCATGAGGTCTTTTGGAAAGCCCAAAATAAAGTCATAAGAGCTTTTGCTCAAAGTCGACAATATCATACCATTGTGGATAGTCGATTATGAAATAAAAGGGTTAGATCCATTGATTAGGGAGATTGGATGGATTTGGTGTTGGAAAGGTGAAGGAATATTATTATTCTCCCTTTTCTCTCTTTTTCCTAACAATTATTCGTTTATGCTTCAATGGTGGGGGCTATTCTATTCAAATCTTCATATCTTTACCCCTTCCTCTTTATCTTTTTAAGGCTAACTTCCATATTTTCATCCACAACGCACCATGTCGGTTCGTCGGTGGTTAACCCACTTATATTCTTTTTTTACCAACCTAACCTAAGTTTGATTCTCTTCTACCGTATGTTGAGAATTGTTGGGAGTGAGTCCCACATTGACTAATTTTGGGAATGATCATGCGTTTATAAGTAAAGAATACATCTCCATTGCTAATGAGGTCTTTTTGGAGAAGCCCAAAGTAAAGCCATGAAAATTTATGCTCAAAATGGACAATATCATACTATTGTAAAGATCCGTGATTCTTAACACTATATTTGTTGAGTTTAGTTTCTTCGTACGTGAACTAAAATAAATAATTTAAAAGTTTAATAAATATATAATTTTTATGTAAATTTGTTAAATAATAATAATAATAATTCAGATTTTAGGAGTAAAAGATAATAAAATAAAATAAGACAATATGTCTATCAATGAAAGAAATGTTTTAAACTTTTGAAGTCACATCTCTATTATTATTATTATTTATAAATATTGTTTTTTTTAAATAATAATTGGATAGCAACAAAGCACTTCTGGTCACATCACATCCATACAACTAAATCAAACATATAAAATAATAATTTCTCTCTCTCTCTCTAAAAGTTTTGGATTATTTTGTAATTTTTGTAAAAAAATATAATATTTCATATGACCTAATTATGTTCGGACAAAAATTGTGACTTAGTAATTTGAACGTGTGTCAGTTGTCTGGATTACATAGGAGGGAGTCTTGTTAGGTTTTACCCCAATTTATGGGAATCGACACTCAACCAGAGAGGCCAAGCTACTCTAATATACGACCTTCATAACAAAATACTGAAAGTATCAATTTCTGAAGTATATGTGAAGAAATATTTGTGGGCTTTACCCCAATCGATAAAAATTGACACCTAGACATTGAAGTTGAGTCACTCTGACAGTCGACCATTATGATAATAGATGGGTAATTGCTAAAAAAAAAACTTTTCATAAATTTCATGTATCAAATAGTACATATAAATAATGATGATGATGGCTATTCAATTGAGACAGGAGATGACCCGCTTAGTTCCGAGAGATGAATGAATCGATTGTGACGAAGTGAGTTTGAAAGAACTGCCGAGAGCTGAAGGAGTTGAAGCCAGTAGGATTGTTGTTTAAAATTTTAATTAATGATTAATCGTGATAATGAAGTAGGGCAAATTAGAGAGAAATGTTATAAAAAGAAGAACACATGCATGGTTGGGTGAAAGGTGGAGTTATTCACATTTATTTGTTTAATGAAATGATTCAAACTTTATGGGTACAATAACGTAATGGGTGTGTTTGGAGATATACATGCCTTTTTAATTTCATCATCAAAACATTCCAATATAATTTTTCTTATATATATTTTTAAATTCTTTCACTTTTTTTTTCAAATATTTTAATCAATATGACAACGTCTACCTTTATTTAATATAATATTATTAAACAGTCTCATGTTAAGCACCATACAACTTTATTATATTTTTATTCACAATTCACCCTCCTTCGGGCCCAGCGTCCTTGCTGGCACTCTTTCCTTCCTCCAATCGATGTGGGACCGCCCCCAAATCCACCTTTCTTTGGGGCCTAGCATCCTTACTGACACTCTCTCCTTCCTCCAATCGATATGGGACCGCTCCCAAATCCCACTCCCATTTGGGGCCGAGCGTTCTTACTGGCACACCGCCTCGTGTCTACCCCCTTCGAGGAACAGCGAGAAGGCTGACACATCGTCCAGTGTCTAGCTCTGATACTATTTGTAACAGCTCAGATCCATCGTATCCTCAAAGCCTTAAAACGTATCTGCTAAGGAAGGTTTCCACACCTTTATAAATGGTGGTTTGTTCTCCTCCTCAATCAACGTAGGACATCACAA